AGGACGCCTCATGCATTCCGCAGGATGCATCATGCAACCTGCAGGACGCCTCATGCGTCCCGCAGGACGCCATGCGACCCTCAGGACGCCTCATGCGTCCCGCAGGACGCCTCATGCGTCCCGCAGGACGCCTCATGCGACCCTCAGGACGCCTCATGCAACCTGCAGGACGCCTCATGCATTCCGCAGGATGCATTCCGCAGGATGCATCATGCAACCTGCAGGACGCCTCATGCGTCCCGCAGGACGCCTCATGCGTCCCGCAGGACGCCTCATGCAACCCGCAGGACGCCTCATGCGTCCCGCAGATGCATCATGCAACCTGCAGGCTGCATCAAGCAGGCGGCGCAGCACATCCACACACCCGGCGCCTCCACGCGTTAAACTTTCTCTACGTCTGTTTCCAAACAACTCATTCAATCTGCTAACGTCTCACAGGCTACATCCTGTTTCTACACCCTGGATAAGAACATGGCGATCGACGACTGGGTGATGGAGGCCATCAGCGGCGACCGGCTGACCCACCAGGTCGTGGATCTGAAACCTCGACACCGTTTACTACTTCAGGATTCAGGCCAAAAACGCCAAAGGTGGGGCCCTCTGTCGGAGCCGGTCCAGTTCAGGACGGCTAAAGGTGGGTCGGGTTTCAAGCCGAGGCCGCCGTCCAGTTTGAGGTTCTTCTGCTTCTGATTGGTTTGTTTTCTGTTGCAGTGGAGCTTCCAGACAAGATGGCCAACGATCAAGGTACAGTTCATCCCATCTGACTCAAAATGGCTTCAATTTATTTAAAAAATACGTTATTCAAGTTAAAATATGTTATAACAGGATAAAATATGTTATTCTGTTTTTTTCTCTTGCTAACTGGCTAGCGAGAGCTAGCTGTTTTCAGTTTGTTGCCTGATGGCTGGACAAAGTTTGAATATTTATGAGGAGAGAAAAATCTTAGTGTTCATTAAGAATGGTCTTAAATTCATGCATCTAAAATCAAAGCCTTAAAACGTCTTAAATTGGTTTTTAGAAGTAAATTAACTTTTAATGTGAAAAACAGATTTTATGTTACATCAGAACAAACTTGTTTTCGTATTTTATGGTAGAATCTCTAAAGTCATTCAGACTGCTGATAGAAACAACTGAACCTGAAACAAGAGAAGTTTGGTCTGATTTAACTTCAGGAATGAGAAACAATGTGTGTCTTTATATTTGGCTTATTAATGTGATTGTATTCCAGAGACTAAGTCACATTAAAGGGACATTTACTATATTCTTTGGTTGGAGTGAAGCTGCCAGCATCATCACAGGAAACCGTTCACACAAAAAACACTGAAGGAGGAGAGCAGCAGCTCCTCTGCTTCCTCTAATCTTTCCAAACAACATTGTTTCTGTGAACCGAAGCAAAAAAACGCTCGCTAATTAAGCCGCCACAATAACTTATCCTTTCAGAGAGGCAAATAAAAAGCAGAGAAGAAGACGTAACGGCAGTGGGCTGTTTTCAGAACAAAACTGAAGTTTATCTGTTGAACTCAGATGTAATTAAGGTTCCCTTCACTGAGTTCATTCATCAACAAACACACAGCTTGGTGCTAATGAGCGCTCAGAGACGTGGCTCGTCTGACATGAAGGCTGCGAATAAAACGCCGTTTGCAGCCTGTGAATCTAAACTGTAATGAGTTTCAGTATCAGTGTGAAGCAGAATCTCAGTCTGCGGTTAGCTGGACTGAAACCAGCAGCAGAGCGTCATCAGCTGGGATGACATAAACAGACAATATTTGTTTCCAAACATTATATTAAGACAATAAATATCAGCTGTCAGCCATATTGGTAGTATTAATATGGGATATCGATATTGGCTCAGAATACCAATCGGTACATCCTGAAGTTACTGCATCAGACGAAGTTTACTAACACTTTCAGATAAAATATTCAGTTTTTACTGTTTCTTTCTTTTCTTTATTAGTGATTTATGATCTAACAGAAACTAAATCTTCAGCTATCAACACTTCAATCCAGCATGTTTTAAACCACCTAAAGGCTACAAGTTCAGAAGCTCTGCCTTCCTGTTACTTGCTGAAAGTGTTGCTCTCTCTCACCGTCTCGCAGCCTCGACCACAGAAAAGATATTTTCTCTTCTGGTAGTTTCCTCTGACTGTGTTTGAAACTCTTCAGCCAAACCAAAAGTAAAGATTTTCTCCAGAACTCAAGATTTCAAAGCAATTTTTGTTTATTGTTAAAAAATTACAATCAAGTTCAATTTACTTGCATAAAAATCCCTTCTAGTTCCTGCAGTGAAATAGGAATTAAATAACAAGCCACACATGTACTTCAGGACTAAATTAAACCTGTTTAGGTTTTTAAATCCATTTCAGTTTTCCTATATTCATATTTTCCCACAGATTTTATTTCTCTGAATTCCACAAATTACAACATAAAATGTTTCTTTCATTCAAAACGTCTTTATTCGTGACGAATTAAAGAGTTGGGTGAAAATTATCCAGATTCAAAAGCAACAATTTAATAATTTAATGGTGTTTTCTTTAAATGAGCCTTAAAACCTACCATGCAGGTGCATCTATTTGATTTTTAAATAGAAATGAGTTTATTAATGTATAAAATCCCTTCAGAGATTTCATCAGCCTTACAGCAGCGCTAACAATGATGCTAACTATGTTTTTATTGTTAAATATGTATTTTATCCTGAGGCGTTTCCTGCTCCAGCTCAAAGGTTCTGGTTCTGGTTCTGGCCCATTTCAGCCTCATTTAAACAAAACACTTAAACATGTGAAAGCTTTCTGAGCTGAAACCGGCGTGGGAATGATGGTTTTAAAGAGCGCCGCCACTTTAAATAACTGCAGGTTGCAGCGGCGTAAAAACACTCATGTGAAAGTAAATGTGAACGGCGGATAAGACGTTTGGAAACCAGTCATGCAGAAAGACGCTGCAGTCTGAGGCTCTGGAAACGGCAGAATCAGACAGAAACGGGACGGCGCGCTGCGGCGCCCGGCGCACTGCGGCGCGGAAAATCCAAATGGTGTTAAGAAAGAAGCCGTCACTCAGGTTCTGGTTCTGGCTCTGTTGGTTCTGTTTATTCCTGGTTCTGCTGGTTCTGTTTGTGCTGACCTTTGACCTTTGCCCTGCAGGTCGGGGAGAACACGCCTTCTGGCCGTCCGACACCAACCTGATCGACAGGAGCAGCATCAACGGTACCAGAACCACATCTTTGCTTCTCATCCGGGTCCGGCTGTCAGAACCTGCTACCGGGCCGGACGGCAGCACCGCCGGGCCCGGACCCGTCTGGATGTTAGCACTGCGCTAACTCCAGAGCTAATCTAGTATTTTTGCTAACTTTGAAAGCGTTTAGCTTCCTCTGAACTCTTTCCAGATAAATTCTAATTTTCAGATTTTCAGTTCGTCGCGTTGAAGTTTGGCTGCCAGTGTTTATATTCATGCTCTTATTTTGGAGTCTGTTTACCGACCAGGTCTGTTTCCTCTTCTCACGTTACCCAGAATGCACTGCTGTAGCTCTACAGTTTACAATCTGCTGATGTCTGAACTGTTACTCTAGTTAATTAGCCAACATTAGCGACAGTTAGCAAAACTGAACAACATAAAACCGAAACTGTGAATGAAGGTCAGTTCCAAAAATCACTTCCTGAAGCACAAAATACACTGAAAACTTAAAAACTTGACTCTGCTTACAGTGAAATGACACGTCAACATTAGCATTAGCCATTAGCTTCTGCTAAATACTGTTTTGAATAGCATTTTAGCATTAGCTTCTAGTAGTCTCTACATTGGTATTGCACTTTTCTGCTAGCGTCCTCTAAATACCTTGTTGGTTTTGGGTTTAGCGTTAGCTTCTGCTAAAGCCATGCTGATATAGTTTTTAGCGTTAGCTTCCCCATTAGCATTAGTGTATGTTTGACTTTATTTTCTCCAAGGATAAATTCTTTAACCAAACTGATCATAAATAGTGTTTATATTTATTGCTGTATGGTTTATATTTTTGACCTTCAGCAGAATCTCAGTTCATTCAGTCATTTGGTTCGTTAACGACGAGCTTAAAGCTCTAACGGCTCGGCCTGCTGCTGTAAATCATCCCAAACGTTTTCATTTTATTGCTCCATGGAAAGAAATTGTTGGCTTGGTTTTCCTTCAGAGGTCAGAGGTCAGAGTCAATATCTGGGGCTGATGCTGCGTCTGTTTGGACGGCAGCTGAACAGTGCGGAGCGTGAACTCTTAGCAGACATTGTTCCTTGCGCCGGCAGTGCCCATAAATCCCTCCGCTCTGACCTTTGACCTCCTCTGACGGTATGGCGGGTCGTCGAGGTCGGATCCTCGTTCATCAGCTCAGCGATATTTTATCTTTATTGCCGCTTCGTCGTTTGTGTCGCAGCGCGTCGTCCCGCTGTGGCGGACGATGACCTCTGACTCTTCACCAAAGGTCACTTCCTGCAGACCTGCTGCTGATTGGACGGCGGCACGCGGCGGCGGCGGTTTGGGTGGCGCCATGCTGCAGCAGTGATGCTTCTGCTGCATCTTAATTCTGCCTTTCTTTTCCCAAGGGAGGCCGGCGCTCGCAGTCGTCAAGATGTAAACTCTGCTGATAGCACCGAGCAATTAAGTTAAAAATATCTGCGATTTCTGCAGGAGGGAAAAACCATTTCAGCAGCTATAATGGAGGCATTAACATCTTTAGCCTTTGTAATTTCCTAAATCTTCCCTCAAGTAGCTTATGAGAGAAGCCACTCACTTTCTCTGCTCTTTCCTTTTTTTGCTGCATATTATTCATTTCAGTTAAAGTTCAAATGTAACAGAAGAAAATATAGCAGAGTCTGCTGGTCAACAGGCAAATCTTTTAAAAGTTTTGTTTTCTCTCAGCCCTTTAGCAGCTTGTTGGGACTGGTTCTACCTCCTGGAGCCAGCATGCAGCCCTGAAGACAAATCCCACTCACAAAGTCTTTTAGCTGACAGCAGCAATGAAAGAGTTTCAGTTCTCTGCTCCGGAGGCACGGCGGTGGCAGCATGATGTCACCTTGATGTTCAGACGGGCTGAGTGGTTAAACCAAACTTGTTGGACCTGATGGGCTTTTCAGGATCTACCCTTCCCTGCAGACCACACACATTCTGGACACTGTTTGGTCTTTTACCCTCAGGGCAGCGCTACAGAGACTTGCTAGCATTAGCAGAAACAGTTTCCATATCATTCCCTTGAATATTGCACAAATTTAAACTTGTCTTCATATTTTTCTATGTATAAAAACCCCTCCAACCTCTGAGCTGATTATTGATTATCAGAAAACTTTCCTCCATCTGATTAATCGTCTCCAAACTCGTCATAAACTGCGGCTGCCGCAAGTTTTCATATCTTCCTATGAAAACCTGCAGGTTTAAATGAAACCTTATTATGAGAGTTTCACTATGAAACATTAGCTGTAGCAGTAGCAGCTTTAGCAGTAGCAGCTTTGGCATTAGCAGCTGTAGCAGCTTTGGCATTAGCAGCTTTAGCAGTAGCAGCTTTAGCATTAGCAGCTGTAGCAGCTTTAGCATTAGCAGCTTTAGCATTAGCAGCTGTAGCAGCTTTAGCATTAGCAGCTTTAGCATTAGCAGCTGTAGCAGCTTTAGCATTAGCAGCTTTAGCATTAGCAGCTGTAGCAGCTTTAGCATTAGCAGCTTTAGCAGTAGCAGCTGTAGCGGCTGTAGCGGCTTTAGCAGCTGTAGCGGCTTTAGCAGTAGCAGCTTTAGCAGCTGTAGCAGCTTTGGCATTAGCAGCTTTAGCATTAGCAGCTGCAGCGGCTTTAGCAGTAGCAGCTTTAGCAGCTGTAGCAGCTTGGCATTAGCAGCTTTAGCATTAGCAGCTGTAGCAGCTTTAGCAGTAGCAGCTTTAGCAGCTGTAGCAGCTTTAGCAGTAGCAGCTTTAGCATTAGCAGCTGTAGCGGCTTTAGCAGCAGCAGCTTTAGCAGCAGCAGCTTTAGCAGCTTTAGCATTAGCAGCTGTAGCGGTGATCTGTTCTGATCATCCCGGGCTCCTGGTGAAGTGAGGAGGCGTCGGCTCCGGTTGTCTCATAAATCAGCAGGTGATGCAGGAGTTGAGGTGCATTAACTTAACAAGGTGTTAAATGTTTTCATTCAGCGCTGGGATAATTATGATAGCAGGTCATTAATCAAGTCTTTCCTGGTCTCCGCCCGGGAGAGTAATTAGTCTGTCAGTCTGCCCGTCCTGACCCAGGCTCCTCAACTTCTCCGCCCGCCGACGACAGCAGAGAAGTTTGACTTTAACGATCTGCGGCTTCGCTCCCTCAGAGCGGCGGCGACTCGCTGCAGAACCAAATCGATGCAGAATGTGGAAAACAGAGGGCGGCTTTATTAGATGGAAGTTTAAAGGAAAGCAGCGCGGAGTGAAAGCGGTCTGCAGCAGGAAGCTTTGATGGATTGAGCTTTTCATTGAGAGAGACGAGCGAGTGGAGGAGAGCTGGAGGGCCTCCCTGCATCGCTCCAGCGTTTCTCTTCATTTCTTCCTTTCATCCGTCTTCTCTCCACCTTCACTGGGTTTTTCCTCCTTTCTTCTGCTTCGGTCTCTTTGCCTCCAAGGTCAGCTTGATGTTTCAGTCTTGAACTCCATGCAGACGGATGACCTGCAGTTCTTTCCCGTTATTCCAACATGGCCGCTCGCGGTGCAGCAGCTCCTTGTCTGGTCCAGATGCTGCTTTCTGCTTTACGTGCTTTCTGCGTAACCCTGGCGACCGTCTCCTCCAGCCGTCATCATGGCCGATCATCGGCGAGTAGTAGGAGAAAGTAGCAGCAACTAAAGATCACAACCGACCTGGTCGCACAAGTCGGATATGAATTTAAGAGAAAAGAGAACAAAGTTTTTTCATTTAGTTTTTAATATTTGTTTCAAGAGCTGATCTTTTTTCTGGTGTATTTTAAATTTTTTCTATTTTAATTTTCTACTCCATCTCATGACTGTAAGGTCTCAGTCATTTACTTGTTTATAGAAATACATTTAATCAGGTGTTTTTGGTATTTTGCTGTATTTTCTGTCCTTTGTTCCGTTTTATCAGATGAATGTTTGGTTGTCAGTTTTCTGCTGTTGAGTCGAAATCAGATCAGTGAAGGACTTTCACAGTTCCGATTTTAATAAGCTGACTCCGCCCCCGATGTGTCCAGAGTCTCCCATTGGTCAGATGCGTCCGCCGCACGGCAGCGTCACGCCTCAGAAGAACAGCTACCTGCTGGTCATCATCCTGGTTTCCGTGGGCGCCATCAGCGTGGTGGTCGTCACGGCGCTCGTCTGCATCCACCGCTCGTCCTCCCAGCAGAGGAAGTAAGACGTCCTTCATGATCGAAGGCCAACTTTCTAACCGTCTTTATGTGACTCTGCAGGTCCAAACCAGATTCCAGCCTGATCTCTAGATCTATAAGCATAGATCTAGAACATCAGTGCTAGAACAGGAAGGGTTCTAGTATTGAGCCTTGGGGAACTCCTCATGTGATTTCTGTCTGTCAGTCAGAAGTTCTTGAAGTTCCAGTTCTTTGGACTCTGGTCCAGAACCGGTTCTGAGAGGTTAACTGACCTCGTTACCTGACCCGGCAGGAAGCGGGCCAGCCACGGCGCCGGGAAGCGGAAGGGCAGCCAGAAGGAGCTGCGGCCGCCGGACCTGTGGATCCACCATGAGGAGATGGAGATGAAGAACCTGGAGAAGGCGCCGAGCATCGCGCCGTCCGGACGCGACTCGCCGCTGCAGGCCTGCCAGGACCGCCCCCAGGTGGCCCACAGCCAATCAGAGAGCCAGATGGGCAGCAAGAGCAGCCACTCAGGTACCGGCAGCCGCTTCCTGGCAGAACCTCAAAGTTCTGCTCGGAGACGCGTCTGGAGCTGACGCGGTGTTTCCTCCAGGAGCCGACGGCGACGAGGCGTCCAGCGGCATCTCCACTCTGGACCGGTCCGTCACGGCCAGGAGGGGAACCAGGGGCAAGATGATGATCCCCATGGACCTGCAGCCCAGCAACACGCGTAGGTCACACTGTGTGTGTGTGTGTGTGCGCGTCTGTGTGAGTGTGTGTGTGCGTGTGTGTGTGTGTGTGTGCGCGTCTGTGTGAGTGTGTGTGTGTGTGTGTGTGTGCGTCTGTGAGTGGGGGTGTGTGTGTGTGTGTGTGTATGTGTGTGTGTGTGTGTGTGTGTGTGTGTGTGTGTGTGTGTGTGTGTGTGTGTGTGCGTCTGTGTGAGTGTGTGTGTGTGTGTGTGTGTGTGTGTGTGTGTGTGTGTGTGTGTGTGTGTGTGTGTGCGCGTCTGTGTGAGTGTGTGTGTGTGTGTGTGTGTGTGGTGTGTGTGTGTGTGTGGTGTGTGGTGCGTGTCTGTGTGTGTGTGTGTGTGTGTGTGTGTGTGTGCGCGTCTGTGTGAGTGTGTGTGTGCGCGTCTGTGTGAGTGTGTGTGTGTGCGTCTGTGTGAGTGTGGTGTGTGCGTCTGTGTGAGTGTGTGTGTGTGCGTCTGTGTGTGTGTGTGTGTGTGTGTGTGTGTGTGTGTGGTGTGTGTGTGGTGTGTGTGTGTGTGTGTGAGAACTTTAGCTGCTTCTGCTCCTTTAGAGTCAGAGGCTATTTATTCCTGATCATCGATCTGATGAGGATCAAGAAACACGAGACGATTCTGGATTATTGAAATAAATAAAGAAATGAAAAGTTAAAAAAATATAAAAGAAAAGAAAAGAAGGGAAATGGAGAAAAGAAAGAAAGGAAGGAAAAGAAAAAGGAAAAAAAAAATGTAAATTTACTGATCCAGGTTTTTTTTTCTTGCTGCTTTTATCTTCCATATTAGGAATGAAACTGATTTGATCTTAAACTGGTTCTGAAACATACAAATAAAAACTAAAGGCCTCAGTTAGCAGGTCAAAGGTCACGGCTCTGAGCCAACATGGCTGCTGTGAAGGCAGCAGCAGAGATCCTGTTCTGGACGCTCTGATTTCTGTAATGTCTATGGAAAGTTCAGCATAAGGCAAAACGTCTTGTGAAGTTTGGCGGTCGGCTCTCCGGGCCGACCAGAACCGTCCAGAACCTCCGGCAGCGCCGCTCCGGCTTTAAACTCCAGATCTTTTCTTCTCCTCCTCCTGGGTGACGGTTCTGATGCTGCTGTTATTTCATATTCTGAGCAGCAGCATTAATTCCAGCGCCGGAAGCGCGACTCGACGGTGACTGGAATAAGAAAGAGCCAGGAGTTAATGTTCTGCTGCGCCACTCCACTCATCCTTCAGGGAGCTTATTAAAAGATAATTTGGGCCCAAATGAAGAGATGATGGACGCCTGGTGGGAGAACACTCCAGTCCTAAAAGTCTTTGTTCCCTTTACTTAAACTACAACCGCAGAAGATTCAAAACTCCCAATATGAGCAAATATTATTCATCTGGATGGACTGCAACGTCTTAATGCACAAAACTAAACTAACTTAAATATCGAAGCTTATTTAGGTCAATCATTCCTTAAAAGAACTAGTTCATGGAAAAATAGGTTTCAATCCATCAGATTACAGCAACACATTTCTGCCCATCAGGGTTATAATAGAATAATCTGACAGAGGAAATAATTCTCTTTTTTTCATCAGTTTTAATGGAAAAGTATCTGAAAACTTACTCGTTTAGTTTTGTCTTATTTTTAAGTGTGATGAAATATTTGGACTAGAATAAAAGACAAAAAATATTTAGTGGCGACTGTTCTGATGCTGCTGCCTTTGATGCTGCAGCCTCTGATGCTGCAGCCTTTGATGCTGCAGCCTTTGATGCTGCAGCTCTCTGCTGTGAGTCTGTTTGGGCTCATTAGAGCAGCAGCATCACTGGGTCGGTTCAGATCCAGCATCACGGAGAAAAGAACTCAGTCAAATGTTCCCCTCAGCAGAAACAGGGTTAGGATCCAGAACCAGGATCCTACCAGCACCAGATTCTGGTTCTGGTAGGATATTCTGCTTCCACTAACAGAAAAATCACCAACAGAGAAATGATTGAAAGCAACTTCCTGTTCCCAGCAGGAAACGCAGGAATGATGTAGAAAATATGAGATGAAGGAAGCAGAGATGAGGACAGATTTATAAAACGTGACGAACGGACGGATCCGCTAACTCAACAGCTTTAGTCTTAAACATTAGTTATACTAAAGCGCTACACCAACACATTGTTTAGTGGAAGCTAATGCTAAAGCGCTACACCAACACATTGTTTAGTGGAAGCTAATGCTAAAGCGCTACACCAACACATTGTTTAGCGGAAGCTAATGCTAAAGCGCTACACCAACACATTGTTTAGCGGAAGCTAATGCTAAAGCGCTACACCAACACTGTTTAGCGGAAGCTAATGCTAAAGCGCTACGACAGCATGGCATTTAGCAGAAAATAGTGTGCTAAGCTAACGTTAGCGCAGTAGCAGTAGCGTGGTCAACTCAGCTTAGCTTATTGCTCTGGAATTAAAAAACACTTTAAAAATGCATTTTTTGAAGCTTCAAATGTTTTGGCCCATAAAGTTCTGATTCAGAGACGGGTTAGCCTGAGAGAGAACTCAGAGAGAACCAGCAGGACGACCTCAGCTTGAGGTATGGACTAGGCCGTTCTTACTGCTAGGCAGCATGATTTCTTGCCGTTCAGGCTCAGTTATGATAATAGAATAAATAAATTAAACACAGCTAAGTGCTAGGCTAATGAAGTCTTTTAATCCAATATCGGGGCTGCTGTTCCTGTTTCATCGCGCCGCTGTAACGTCTCTGCTCCTCCTGCCACGTTTCTGCGATTTGTGTGTGAAGCTGCTTTAATTCCCACTGAGCCGAAGATGTCGAACATCTCAGCGTGAAGCAGATCTGGTTCTGCAGCAGCGCAGCATCTAATTACAGCCTCCGTTCTGCCTGTGTGCAGCGGTTCTGGGTCCGGTTCTGTTTCTGGATCTCAGAGTAATTATCTGGCTCTCAGGACGCCGACAGTCTTTTAGGGATTCTCTCTCTTCTCATTTTCCACCTTGTTGTGGTTGTTGTTGTTTAACAGAAACCACCAACTGAACACCGACAAGCAGGTTACAGCCGTGGGAGGAACACACACACAGAGTCACGCAGAGATACACACACACACAGACACACACAGAGTCACGCAGAGATACACACACACAGACACACACACACACACACACACACACGCAGACACAGAGAGACACACACACAGACACACACAGAGTCACGCAGAGATACACACACACACAGAGATAGACACACACACAGACACACACACACACACGCAGACACAGAGAGACACACACACAGAGATAGACACACACACAGACACACACAGAGTCACGCAGAGACACACACACACACAGACACACACACACACACACACACACACACACACACACACGCAGACACAGAGAGACACACACACACACACAGCTTCATGTTTGCATTTGTTTGAATTTGAGCCAAAACATCTGAGCCTCCTTCATAAAACAGGACAGTTTTTGACTTTTTTCCATTTTTTAATTTTCTCCCAGTTATGATTAAATATTAATGAAGATAAAATGATGTGGTCTCTTTACATAAAGAGAACTATTGGAAAATACAAATTGTCATTAAGTTATCTCCTCGCTGTGTTTAGCAGCACCAAAATAAAAAATGTGGAGACAAAAATAAAAAAACATAAACAGTTTTTTAAAAACTGAATGAAAATAATTGTGTAACTAAAAAAATTTTAAAATAAAAATTTAGTTTGAAATATTTCTCAAGCAAAAAAAATATTTTTAAAATAATAAAAAATATTTGGTAATACAATTTAAAAGGAAAATAGTAATGTAAAAACTTAAACTAAATAATTTGAATGGATTTTTGTTAAATTGAATAAAACACTTCAAACTAAAATAAATCCTCAGACTGAACTTCAGGAACGTCAGGATTCTTCCTCCACGTTCCAGTCGGAGCGATGCCGTCAGAAAACCAGAACAACATTTTCTCCTGTTCAGCTCCATCGATCGCAGCATCGATCAGGACGTATTGATAAGCACCGATCCGATCAGCAGATTTAATTTGTGCCGATTTGAGCTGCGATCATTTTAAGAGAAGCAGAGTTTGATTACAGATGAGATGAAGATGTTGATTACAGATGAGAATCAACATACAGATGAGATTACAGATGAGAATCAGGCCATACCGTATGGCCTGATCCATACGGGTATTGATCGGGGATATCGATGGATCTGGGAGGCTACAGGTCCATCCTGCCTGCAGCAAGCAGAAACTGAAACCAAGCTGGAAGTTCAGGATCTGTCTTCCTTCCACCGACGTTTCCAGATTTTTGTTCTTTATGAAAACCTTTCTGAGCAAAGAAAAGAAAACGAGAACAAAAGCAGATCAGAGTCGAGACGTTGAGAGGAAACAGAACCAATAACCTGAAGGATTCCTTCATTTTCATCAGACCAGAGAGGTGAAAATATTTCTGCTTCTGATCACTAAACTAAGACGAGACACAGGAAACCTGACAGCTGCTCTCAGATTCTGATTCACTCCAAACCAAACTGGCTCATGTGACAGGATTCACGCCTGAATGGATCATTTAGGGAAACTTCATGGTTTAAAGAGAAAAAAACACGGTTCACCTCTGGAGACTCACCACAACCACAAAACCTCAGGGCATCTAAAGTTTTAATGGCCTAGTCAAAGTTCATACCTCCATCTGATTGAAAATCTGATCAGAACCTGCAGAGATGAAAGTGTGAAAAACTTAATGAAGTGAAACTGAGCTGGAAAAGATGTGATGTGTTGAAGTCAGACAGAAACTGTTTAAATTTTAAAAAGTTTAAAGAAATGATAAAACTTTAATGTAGATAAAGTTTAATATATTACGGCTAGCTAAAACATTAGCGTTGCTAACCCTGAAGCACCGATCAGAAACTCTGGACTAACTAACTTTAATTCTCAATATAATTGAAAGACATGGAGCTGAACAGAAATAAAATCAGATTTTATTTGCTTCGTTGTATTAGAATTGCTGTTTTCCCTCCATGTTAAAGGAACAGATTAGAAAACCTATTTTTGTCTTTTACCTTCAGCGCCTGCTGAACAAAGAGTGAGAGTGTGGGAGTTTTTTAATCAAACATGAAGGATTACTGAGAGACAACAGAGTGCACAGCTGCACTCATTCTGCTGGATGTGTTTTAGAAAAGACAAAAGGAAATATATACGTGCAGCTTCAGACAATAATAGGAACTGGGGGAGCTCCTTATCTTCCAAACAGGCCTGAGGAGCCGTGCAGTGATTTTTCTCTGTGTGCTGTAGACCTGAGGCGCTGTGTAATCAGTCTCACTGAGCTCGCCTCCCTGCAGTTTCCTCTCAAGGTCACAGTATGAACTCTGTCTGCCTTCCTCCTCCTCCTCCTCACACCTCCAGACCCGGCTGTGCTGCAGCGGTGCAGCCGGATCCGCAGCCGTTGTGCCGCGCGTCTCCCGCCAGTGGGTAACGAGGTCGTTTAAGCCTTAATGTGTCTCTGCTGTGATCGCGCCGTTTGATTGTAGTTTTGTTTTTATGGCCGCAAATGAAGCCAGAAGACAAACGGTGGAGTTTCTGCTGCCAGAATCAGCTGAAAAATCAACTCAGAAACTCCAGCATCTTAAAAACATCCTGCAGCGGTAGAACTGGGCCACGGTGACCCAAACGATCTTTGCTACAAGTTTTACAGTTTGAAGCCTGTAAGTTTTCACCTCCTGACCCAGACGCTGGGATCTGGCTCCTGATCTGCCTCAGAGCGAGGAGAGAGCAGGCTGCCTTCAGTAGGGAGGAACCACGCTCACTGCTTGCCATAGTTTCCCGTATTTACCCGCCAGCTGTTTTAGCATGAGCTAGCATGCTGTCAGCATACTACAACTCTTCACTGCAGCGTGATAAACTTATGCTACCAAGTTAGCATCAGTAGGATCTTCAGCTCTCAGTGAGATGTTGAGTTCCTTTAAGGCAAAAAAACATAAATCTTCCTTGGAGAAAAAAAGCAATTGACATTTAACATGCAAACGACAAATGAAGTATGATGAAGTACATGGATTTTAACAGGTTGAAAATGTTAGAGCATTATGAATTTAATTCAAAGGTTCCCGGCAGAACTTATGTTTCTGGTACGCCCATAAATGTGACGCACAGCTACATCCTCTCACATTAATGGACAGCTAAGCTGCTTCTGAACGATCTGATTGGACGCTGGAAAAGACTATTGTTGTGTTCAAACAACAGTAGTTTGAACGCAGACTATTGTTGTTAGCTTTTAGCACAACACAGTTGTTAGCTGCTACTGTGTTAGCATGTAGCAGCTAACAATCCAGATTTCTAAAGAAGCTCCGTGAATGATCAGGGCTTCCTGAAACACTTTAAGAACAGATTAAAAACTTCTACTCATGTTTTATTTATCTAATAATTTAGCAGCAATTTGAAAATGTTTTATTTTTTGACTCTGCTCAGTTAAGAATTTTAGAAGAGTTTTATAGCTAAATATGTTATTAGTGAATAGTTTTAGCTTTTAGTGAGCTGTTCCCACTGCGGGTTATTCTCGACCTGATGGAGCCAGATGTTCCTTCATATGACGTTACAGAGACTTTTATCATGATCAACAAGGTTCACTTGGTATCTAAAATTCCTGATCAAATGTTTCGAAAGCTTAGGAGTAGAGAAAATAGTAGAAATTATTTTAAATAAATATGAAAAATATTTAAATGGAAAGTAGCACCGCCTGTCCAGACAGTTGGACTGAAAGCTAAAGTTATGCTAAATAGTGCGCTAGCTGTTCCTTCTGCTGTGTTGCTAATGCTGTCCAGTTTGGCTAATAGCGTCTTCCTGTTTGTGTTCCAGCTGTGGTCAGCGCCATCCCGGTTTCTACGCTGGAATCCTCTCAGTATCCGGGGATTCTGCCGTCACCGTCCTGCGGCTTCACGCACAACAAGTTCAGCCTCAGGCCCATGCCGTTCCCCAGCCTGACGGTGGACAGAGGATACACAGCAGGTACCCAGATACACACCACAATACACACCGCAATACACACCACGATACACACCGCAATACACACCACGATACACACCACAATACACACCACAATACACACCACGATACACACCACAATACACACCACGATACACACCCAGATACACACCAACACACACCACGACACACACCACAATACACACCACGATACACACCACACACACCAACACACACCATGATACACACCACGATACACACCAACACACACCACGATACACACCACGATACACACGGGTACCGACACGTGAATTCAATCATCTCTACAATTATGCAACCTTACGTCTTTGAAAAGCAGGAGTGGAGCTTCCTGCACGACCAACAAGAATGCAGCAAGTGGTTTCTGGATGTTAAGTCTTTTCCAGAGCATTGTGCAGAGCATACAGCGGTAAAACCAGCTGACCAAAGGTGCTGGAGCTCAGCTGGAGTTGCTAGGTAACGGCACAGTGTGACTCACCAACCTGGAGGTTTTCTGAAATAGCTGGAAATAGCAGGTAGAAGCAGTGGAAACTCAAATGTCTCTTTTCTTTAATCCTCCAACAAAACAATCAAAACAATCTGAGCTGTGGACAGAAATGACTAAATGAAACCTTTCATTCGTCCATTTTCAGGTCAGATTTACCTGCTAATATTAAAACGTCTCCAGCTCCCTCTGCTCTGATTTCTTTCTGCTCTCCTTAATCCTGGTTTTACTGCCAAAGCAGCAAGGAGGTGGGGAGCAGCAATTCAGTAATTGATTAATTCCTGCTTGGCTCGTGTCAGAGCGTTAACAGCAGCGCGGGGAGGCGGAGAGGCTTCAGAGTCATCGAGTCAGGAGGGCCGATCGCTGCTGGCAGAGCAGACAATCACAGCCGCTAACGACGCAGCCGCTAACAATCACAGCCGCTAACGACGCAGCCGCTAACAATCACAGCCGCTAACAATCACAGCCGCTAACAATCACAGCCGAGATATGGTGAGAAACAGACGAAACGCAGAACAAGGGGAGATTTGAAGCTACAGTTTTCTCTTAACTACTGAGTCAGAATTAGAAACTTTATCCTGCGAAGCATCAAAAAGTTTCTGCTGGTCTGAGTCCCGGCTGTCATCATGGTGACGGGGAAGCGCTAATGGAGATCAGGTCAGCCTTATTATCTCTGATCTCTTCATTAGAAACATTCACAGGAAAATAGGTTTTAATAAAACCTTTAAAAAACTTTTGAACTGAAATGTTTCACTGAAACCAGCAGAAATTATGGGCTTCAGAAAAAACTGCTCATAAAAACGGATACAAGGTTCTGTTGGCCCGGTTCTGTAGGCCCGGTTCTGTTGGCCCGGTTCTGTTGGCCGGGTTCTGTTGGGGGTTTTCGTGGGTTCTGGTGTTGAATCCTGATGGTGCCGTTGTTGTTGGTTGCTGTGGGACAGAAAAGAAAACCTGCAGAGGTTTTGAGTTTTTCTGAAACCTTCGTCTCCAGGTTTCATGTGGTTGTGCAGCAGCAGCGTTCAGCCGGCAGCAAGAGGCTGAAATTACAGCCTGATGTTTCCTGTAGAGATTTATTCAGAGTGTGAACATTTCCTCTCTTCCTGCTGCAGGAACCATTTTCCTCTCGTTTCTGTTGGTCATGAAGCGTCCAGATTAGTCTTTGTTTACATTCAGCCTCTTTGTGCTGCATCCAGAGCGCGGCGTCCAGAGCGCGGCGTCCAGAGCGCCATGTTTGATGTTTCTCAGAGAGCGTTTCTCCACCAGACAGTCGCTCTAATTGAACTCTTCTTCTTCTTCTTCTTCTTGTGTTTCTGTTTCCTGTCAGCGATGCCGTCGGACTCCTCCGCCGCCCCCCTGCTGCAGCAACAGGCTCCGCCCCCTCCGGCCGCCCCGCTGCTGCCCGGCTCTGCCGCTCCCGCCGCCGACCTGGCCCCCCCGGTGGGGCCCGTGCCCGGGGCCGCCGCCGCATCGGGCCCCTCGGAGGAAGCCCAGGCGGCGGCCGCGCGCAGCATCCCTACGGCCTGCGTCCGGCCCACGCACCCCCTGCGCAGCTTCACCAACCCGCTGCTGCCGCCGCCGATGGGAACCATCGACCCCAAGGTCTACACCTCCATGCTGCCGCAGGCCAGTGAGTACCGCCCCCTGCTGGCAGGGCAACACTCGGCTCCAACGTTCAGATCGTTAAAGTTACACTGAAAAAACAAAATATCATTTTGTTCTGATTTATTCAAACTGAAAGGAAACTTTTTTCAGCTCAACTTGAGTTATTTTAGGGGTCAAAAGTTGAAACACTTCAGATTCTGCTGATATTTGGAGTCGATGATCTGATTATGATTATATTTAGTAAAATCTTCTCGTCTTCTCGTTTTTGTGGCCAGCGCCTCGGGCTGAAGCATAGTTCTGTCTCAGCAGCTCAGACGTTTCATCTCCTCGTCCCATAAAAAGAGAAAACGTTTCGTCTTCAGCAGTTTGTCTCTGATTCTTGTTCAACTCCAGGATGATGCAACATGAGAGCAAACATCTTCTGGTCCAAACATGAAACAGACCCACATCCAAAGACATGCAGCTTCTGTTTTACAGAGTCATCGCTTTAATCGGCTTTTCTGCTCTTTAAGGTGTGAAATTGGCTCAGGTCAGATCATTTTAATAAGCGCCCTGCTGTAATTCCTCACAGGAACCAGAGTTTCTGTTTGTCTGCTTAAATAAAAGGAATCCGTTTTTCTGCGGCCGGCTGCTCGTTTTCTGTCATATTTCACATTTCAGGCTGGATCCTCTGCTTTCATATTTACTCAGGGAAGCTGAATGCATCGGCCCCAGGCTGTTACACACACAGTGTGTGTTTGTATATCTTTAATACGCTGTAACCGGGCCTGACATTCGCCGGAGGGATGGAGGATCCGACCCGATCCGCCTCAGTTCTCCCTCTGCCATATTGTTACCTGTCTGTCTGTCTGTCTGTCTGTCTGTCTGTCTGTCTGTCTGTCTGTCTGTCTGTCTGCGCTCATGTCCAGCCGCTGCTGCAGCCTCACATTAAACCTGACAGACACTTGACCTGCAGCAAGCCGCCCTGCTGCAGCAAGCCGCCCTGCTGCAGCAAGCCTCCCTGCTGCAGCAGGCCTTCATAGGAAACAAAGTTACTCCAGGGTTTTGTTTTAGAACTAAAGCTAATTCTAGTCATTTAACTTACGGAAATTTGTGCAGATATTTTTGTTTAATATAACCCGGGGTCATTTTGGTACATTATTGTCAAACTGTTTTACGTAAATGCTCTGCTTATATTCCCTGTTTGTTTTTTTTCTCGTAATTTAAACTGAATCTGGTTTGAACAGAAGAATCAAATCTTTGGACACTGAAATATTTCCATCTCTACAGTTTATGAAGCTCTGAAGATTCATGGATGATGAGTTACGACATCATTTAATTTCACTTTATCCCCATACAGTTCTACTGCCCCCTAGTGTTCTACTGCCCCCTAGTGTTCGGATAGACCGAACACTAGGGGCAGTAGAACAGCTGCAATGTTACATTTCTATAGATCTTTTTATTTTGACTGCAGCTAAAAGCTAAAAACAGAAACAAACTGTTCGTTATGGTCTGTGTGTGTGTGTGTGTGTGTGTGTGTGTGTGTGTGTGTGTGTGTGTGGTGTGTGTGTGTGTGTGTGTGTGTGTGTGTGTGTGTGTGTTTCTATCATTTCTGTGTTTACATGCTCAGGCTGCCTCAGATCATTGATTTTTAGCTCCAGGAAACTTTTCACTCAGAGACTGTAAGCCTGAGGCAACAGGAGCCAGAGAGCAGGACTCACTGTTCCCTCATCGTTCCCTTACTGTTCCCTCATCGTTCCCTCACTGTTCCCTCATCGTTCCCTCACTGTTCCCTCATCGTTCCCTTACTGTTCCCTCATCAGGAAACTTTTCACTCAGAGACTGTAAGCCTGAGGCAACAGGAGCCAGAGAGCAGGACTCACTGTTCCCTCATCGTTCCCTCACTGTTCCCTCACTGTTCCCTCATCGTTCCCTTACTGTTCCCTCACTGTTCCCTCATCGTTCCCTTACTGTTCCCTCATCAGGAAACGTCACATTTAATCAAAGCCTGAAGCTAAAACTAGCATCTATGCTAACGGACTAGATCGTGTTAAGCTAGTTAGCATAAACACTGATGTTGTTTCCTTTCTTCTTTCCTTGCTAGTTAGTTAAACTCAGTTGTTTGTAATATGTTGACATTTATTTTATGACACATTGAATGAACAAATAATTACAGAAACTTTTCATAAACGTGAAGACGATGAGGAAAACAAAGACCAGAAAGCAACAAGGATAATAAAACTAAAACCATTTAGGTCACAGGATAAAAAAAAGAAAAATAATCATCTTTACGTTTATTTAGTTCATTTTCAGTCTTTTTTCTCCTCCGACATAAAAACTGATTCCAGTTCATATTGAACCGTATCAGTAGCAACCATTTGAGACGAGGATGTTTATTATTGGTGACATTATGAGAGACTACTATGTATCGCTGTATATTATATCAATTGTTCATCAGACTATGAACAATTGTCTTATCCGTAATTTACATAAGGAACAAAATGGTTCCTTATGTAAATTAATTAAAGAGGAAAAACATTCAGGAAATACTGACGTTTCAGAAAAACTCATCGTTTTTTTTTTTTACTGTATTTAAACAAAAAATCTAAATATTTTGGTCATTTTCAACTTTTCCATAAACAGGTAAAAAAAACCAAGAAAAACACAAATTCAAGACAAAACTATTACAGATATACATCAACAATATCTCAACTTAAAAAGTATAAACCAACAGAAAGTAGAGGCATAACTTTATTTGTCTTTCATTTTATTTATAAGCAGCTGAATATTTCCTGTATATTTTACTAAAAATTCAGTTTAAACATTTATTATTAAATGTAAACATTTTCTTCCACACCTGAATCATGAATGCTGTGAATCTGGACAAAATGTTTGTTATTAATCCCAGTAATGCGTCTCTCTTAACTCATATTTAACTCTCAACTCATGTGAAAAGTAAAAATAGAGTTTAGATGTGTGAGCGTTTAAAACGAGCTTTAATTTGACTAAATAGCACTGAAACTACCTTTAGTTTTTCATAAAGTTCTACCGGCCGTCAGCATGAGGGACATTTTCCTGACATGAATAAAATGAACTTCCTGTCTGCAGGTTTGACTCGGTCCAGTTTAAAAGAGGGACAATAATAGTTGAGATCTCTTCTGCAGCCGTGACTCAGCTGAATTGATCTGAACGAACAGTTCACGGCTCCGGGCTGTAACAGGATTGTCCTAGTCGATGTCCGGCTCTGAGGGGAGGCGGCCGGAGGCGGACTGGTCCACCTGTGACGGACGTTTTCAGCTCCATCGCCTGCAGGAAAACAAAAATAAACGTGTCGTCGCGACAGAAATGCCACCGGCAGACAATAACGACTCTCCACCAAAGTGACCCGTCAGGACTGATCAGTGGCCTATTCAAAGTTCATCTCATGTTTTCCACAAAGTCATTCTTAGATAATCAGATTTTAGTTTGCTCCGTTCCCCCCAACTCAGCGTTTACACTCACACAGGAAAGTAACTGCAAGTAGATGTGTTACAACCGTACATCTTTGAAAAGCATTAGTGGAGCCTCCTGCACAACCGACGAGAATGCAGCAAATGGTTTCCGGATCAAATCAACATCAAACACTTGTCTTCCACAGCGCACTGCAAAAACACTAAAACTCACCAAGTATTTTTGGTCAAATATCTTATTTATTGAACCTTTTTGTGTTTTTGCACAACCCTGTCGGGGTCGCTAGGTAACGGCGCAGTGTGACTCAACAATGGGAGGTTTTTGAAACGATTTCCAACATAAATTATCTTGATAAAAATCTTCTGGATGTTTTTTTAAGTTGTTTTAGAAACAGTTGAAAACCAAGATGTGGATTTTGCTCTCTGTGGTTCCCTTCGTGAGACGAGGAGATTTTATGGCGGTACAGGAAAATGAACAGATCGCAGACGACGCAGGACGGCGGCTCTCAGGGGAAACGTTGAAACGAAGCCTGCAGGTGGCGCTGTGACCTCCAACAGTCCAGGCTGGGAATCGAACCTGGGACCCGGTTGCTGCCAGGCAGTTCCAGCAGTCGGAGGGCGAACATCGAGACGAACAGCCGGGAAATGAAAAGTAGGTCACGAGCGAAACAGAGACGGCGGCGTGAAGCGGAGACGAGTCGTCCTCCAGAGACGAGACGAGACGTCTCCTCAGAAACGTTTCATCTGCAGCTGGATCAAAACGCTCTGAGGATCGATACCGGCTCTGACTGCGACCCCAAACACACACACACACACACACACACAGACACACACACACACAGACACACACACACACACACACACAGACACACACACACACACAGACACACACACACACACAGACACACACACACACCCCCACACACACACACACACACACACGCGGCGCTCTGATGGAACCTGGTGGGCATTTCACACCTTCCTCACCTGTCAGGTTGAACCTGAAGCTCCGGTTCACCCTGAGCCCCTGAAGCTGCTCAGTCTCACCTTCACATCGTTCAGACGCTGAAACCCAAAATGCTTCACTTCTCTGGAAAAGTTGTTTCCTGGAACTTTTCAGAGCTTTTTGGCAGAAGTCCATCTTGACCTCCATACATGTGACTTTAACTTCCGTGTAGTGAAGAAGTTTGACTCCAGAGACGCTTCATCTCAGATCCACTTGTCAGTTTTTTCTTGCAGAATTTCAGCTTTTCAAACTCAGAAATGTTTTTGTTTTTGGCAGAAATTCCTGGTTGTTTTTGGACCTGCAGCCTTCCTGATATGTTGAGGAATAATTCATATTCAGATCCAGGAGGATTTGGGACAACAAATCAGTTTTAACGATCAGCTTCAGTAAAACTGATTCACTTGGTGTTTGAGTTCAACACTCCGACATCAGTTTCCCTTGCAATGAGGTCACTGGTGCAGCAAAGACAAAGATCCCCCTGGAAACAGATTATTGGTAACATGTTCCCAGGTTTCCAAATAAAATCTGGTGTTCAGGAAACATCTTGCAACAGAAAAGATGAGATGGAGAATGTTTGTGTTTCTCTGATAAACTGACCAAACGTCGTCCAGAAGCTTCTGCTGCTAAAAGCTTCTGTAAGTTGAAGTGAATCTGTGAGTTGAAGTGAATCTTTGAGTCCGTTGAGGAAACGCAGCTCTGGTTCTGATCCGTCTGTTTCTGGCTCTGCTGCCAGTCGAGTCGCTGCAGGTGTTTTGTTTAGCAGAATGGATGTTTATTGATTAGCAGCAGAGAGCAGAGTGATGGGGGACATTGTTGGCCCCAGCAGGCCTCCGTACTGGAGGAGGCTGTGGAGAATATCCGTCTTTTGGGTCCATTTTTCTTCTAAATGTTGCTGTTCTTTCAGCTCGCTCCCCCAGCGGATTAAAAGTGGCTCCGTCTGGTTGTTTGTTTCCTTTTCTTTGAAGCATTGATCCGACCCGCTTTCTTTCTCTCTGCTCATGTGAGTTTTGATCGTTTCTGTGAGCGGATGCTGCAGCAGCAGACGGCCTCTGAATGACTTCTGCTGCTCTTCGTTTCCATCGCTTAGTTGCGTGTAAAGTTGTCATTTAGCGGGTCGATGGCGGCCGGGAGTCATGAGGTCAAACTATTCCTGTCAGCAGCTGAAAAGGTCGTCGATACTCAAGTTTCACCATCCAGCAAAGATTGACCTGATTATGAACAAACGCGTCGATGTTTGATGCTTCATGACTTCAGAAAAACAATGGAAGACAAAAATCTGGATTCTGGAACGAATATATTTGATTTTCCTGGTTTTATTGTAGTTCTGCTGACGACCCGGTTTGGCCCAAACTTCTGCTTTAGTCTATGATGAATAAATAAAATCTGGACCTGAATAAAAGGAACATTTCACGTGTTTTGCGTTGGAGATCTTTGCCTCTCACTGCAGCTGGTGCTCATCCTGTCTACAGCCGTAACTTCCTGTCCGCCATCATCAGTGACGTCATCATTGGCTCTGATTAGACCCCAGAAACATCCTTGATTGGCCTCATCAGCGCCGCGGCCATTAAATTCACTCTTTTCTTTTGAAGTCATTGATGATTCTGACCTGCAGCTGAAATGATAGACAATCTCTTCTGTTCCGTCTTTAAAATCTTGATTATGAAACAGAAAATGTGGTGAAGATCGATCAGAATTTATCTCCTTTGGGTCTGAACCGCAGTTTGAGCCCAAACCGAACCGGGCCCAAACAGAACCGGGTTCAAACAGAACCGGGCCCAAACAGAACCGGGCTCAAACAGAACCGGGCCCAAACAGAACCGGGCTCAAACAGAACCGGGTTCAAACAGAACCGGGTTCAAACAGAACCGGGCCCAAACAGAACCGGGCTCAAACGGCCTGTCAGTAACCCTGAACGTCTCGGTTCTGTTCCAGGTGCCAGCCTGCCGAAGCCCCAGGTGAAGACGGCGTCTCTGGGTCAGGCCGGGAAGGCCCGCTCCCCTCTGCTGCCCGTCTCGGTACCGACGGCGCCGGACCTGCAGGAGGAGGGCGGAGCCAAGCCGCAGGAGGATTCAGCCGCCAACGTGAGTCTGAGGCAGAACCAGCGTTCAGAACCAGAACATTTAGTCCAGGAAGTTTCAGCAGGTTCTGCATGTTTTAACCAAACACATAAAATAAGATTTAAACACAAACTTTCCTCAAATCAGCACAAAAAAAACAACGAGTTCAGGAAATAAAGCAGAAAGAAGCAGGAAGGAAATTCAATCTCAGAATTTAAATTGTGACTTTATTTTCTGTCGTATCAGCGCCACTTTATCTGCTCACAAAATGACTTTTTTCTTGTCATTTATTTTGGTATTTTTATGATTTTATTCTTTTATTTTCTAAAATCAGAATCCTGTCATCCATGTATGAAACAAACAGTTTAGTTTCTGAAAAGCAGTTTATCAGGCTGAGCTCTGGCCTAAACAAAGTAAATGACTGACACAAAGCAGACTTCTCTGCTCGGCTGCTGATTGTAGGACAAACTCAGAGTTTGATCTGCAGATTCCTCCAGTTTTAGCAGGAGAGTTTTTACTTTTAAGGCTCTTCATGCGACTGTCAGCGTCTGGGATTCAGCAGAACAAACCGACGATTCCTCCTAAAACTGAGGAAGAGACGGAAGCAGGACGACAAAAACCTGAAGAGGAAAAACTGCAGAGCGAGACGACATGATGGGCAGAGAAACAGAGAAACAGGATGGATTCAGGTTTCAGGTTTAACTCCCATAAAAACTGAGAAACGAAAGATAAACGATGGAGAAACGAAGGACGGCGAGACAGACGGAGGACAGGAATGTCAGCGTCTCCGAGGGAAGAAGGGATGAGATGAACGACAGCAGACGATGCGGAGCGATGTCGGACGTCAGGAGGTGTCACCACGGCAACCGGAGGAGGAGAGGAATTATGAAACCACCAGGTGTCGCCATGGCACCAAGGAGGAAAGAGGAGGAGGAAGAGCTGCCACGGCGACAAGAACCACACACACACACACACACACACACACACACACACACACACACACACACACACACACACACACTGATACTGAATAAATACAATATAGATGTAGATTAACTAGATTCCAGCACATCTAAAGGTTTCACATCACAGAGAGGATTTCTGCTTTCCTGCTGTTTTACAGAACAATCTGAAAAGTGCGGCAGGCTGCTTTATTCTCTGACCAAGAGTGTGAGCCAGAATCAGAGATCATTTTAAAAATTAAGAGAATAAAGTCGGATTATTAGCAAAATAAAACAAAATGTATAAAGTCAAAGGACAGACGGACGGATGTTTCTGTTCTCCTGGCACTGAAACTTTAAGAAAAGTCCAGATTTTAACATTCTTGTTTCTGTTGAGCAGTTATTGTCCAAATGTCACGTTGCCTGATGATCCGTGGAATAAATTAATCAGTTTTCGCCGACCAGGAGTCGATGTGACACCTCCATGTTGGTTCTTTAAATCCTCCATGTTGGTTCTATAAATCCTCCATGTTGGTTCTTTAAATCCTCCATGTTGGTTCTGTAAATCCTCCATGTTGGTTCTTTAAATCCTCCATGTTGGTTCTATAAATCCTCCATGTTGGTTCTATAAATCCTCCATGTTGGTTCTATAAATCCTCCATGTTGGTTCTATAAATCCTCCATGTTGGTTCTTTAAATCCTCCATGTTGGTTCTATAAATCCTCCATGTTGGTTCTTTAAATCCTCCATGTTGGTTCTATAAATCCTCCATGTTGGTTCTTTAAATCCTCCATGTTGTTTCTATAAATCCTCCATGTTGGTTCTATAAATCCTCCATGTTGGTTCTAAATCCTCCATGTTGGTTCTATAAATCCTCCATGTTGGTTCTTTAAATCCTCCATGTTGGTTCTATAAATCCTCCATGTTGTTTCTATAAATCCTCCATGTTGTTTCTATAAATCCTCCATGTTGGTTCTATAAATCCTCCATGTTGTTCTTTAAATCCTCCATGTTGGTTCTATAAATCCTCCATGTTGGTTCTTTAAATCCTCCATGTTGGTTCTATAAATCTCCATGTTGGTTCTATAAATCCTCCATGTTGGTTCTTTAAATCCTCCATGTTGGTTCTATAAATCCTCCATGTTGGTTCTTTAAATCCTCCATGTTGGTTCTATAAATCCTCCATGTTGGTTCTTTAAATCCTCCATGTTGTTTCTATAAATCCTCCATGTTGGTTCTATAAATCCTCCATGTTGGTTCTATAAATCCTCCATGTTGGTTCTATAAATCCTCCATGTTGGTTCTTTAAATCCTCCATGTTGGTTCTATAAATCCTCCATGTTGTTTCTATAAATCCTCCATGTTGTTTCTATAAATCCTCCATGTTGGTTCTATAAATCCTCCATGTTGTTTCTTTAAATCCTCCATGTTGGTTCTATAAATCCTCCATGTTGGTTCTTTAAATCCTCCATGTTGGTTCTATAAATCCTCCATGTTGTTTCTTTAAATCCTCCATGTTGGTTCTATAAATCCTCCATGTTGGTTCTTTAAATCCTCCATGTTGGTTCTTTAAATCCTCCATGTTGGTTCTATAAATCCTCCATGTTGGTTCTTTAAATCCTCCATGTTGGTTCTATAAATCCTCCATGTTGGTTCTTTAAATCCTCCATGTTGGTTCTGTAAATCCTCCATGTTGGTTCTTTAAATCCTCCATGTTGTTTCTATAAATCCTCCATGTTGGTTCTTTAAATCCTCCATGTTGGTTCTATAAATCCTCCATGTTGGTTCTTTAAATCCTCCATGTTGGTTCTATAAATCCTCCATGTTGGTTCTATAAATCCTCCATGTTCTATAAATCCTCCATGTTCTATAAATCCTCCATGTTGGTTCTATAAATCCTCCATGTTGGTTCTTTAAATCCTCCATGTTGGTTCTATAAATCCTCCATGTTGGTTCTTTAAATCCTCCATGTTGGTTCTATAAATCCTCCATGTTGGTTCTATAAATCCTCCATGTTGTTTCTATAAATCCTCCATGTTGGTTCTTTAAATCCTCCATGTTGGTTCTTTAAATCCTCCATGTTGGTTCTATAAATCCTCCATGTTGGTTCTGTAAATCCTCCATGTTGGTTCTATAAATCCTCCATGTTGGTTCTATAAATCCTCCATGTTGGTTCTTTAAATCCTCCATGTTGGTTCTTTAAATCCTCCATGTTGGTTCTATAAATCCTCCATGTTGGTTCTATAAATCCTCCATGTTGGTTCTATAAATCCTCCATGTTGTTTCTATAAATCCTCCATGTTGGTTCTTTAAATCCTCCATGTTGGTTCTTTAAATCCTCCATGTTGGTTCTATAAATCCTCCATGTTGGTTCTATAAATCCTCCATGTTGGTTCTGTAAATCCTCCATGTTGTTTCTATAAATCCTCCATGTTGGTTCTTTAAATCCTCCATGTTGGTTCTGTAAATCCTCCATGTTGTTTCTATAAATCCTCCATGTTGGTTCTATAAATCCTCCATGTTGGTTCTGTAAATCCTCCATGTTGGTTCTATAAATTCTCCATGTTGGTTCTTTAAATCCTCCATGTTGGTTCTATAAATCCTCCATGTTGGTTCTATAAATCCTCCATGTTGGTTCTATAAATCCTCCATGTTGGTTCTATAAATCCTCCATGTTGGTTCTTTAAATCCTCCATGTTGGTTCTTTAAATCCTCCATGTTGTGTTCCAGGTGTATGAGCAGGACGACCTGTCGGAGCAGATGGCCAGTCTGGAAGGACTGATGCAGCAGCTCAACGCCATCACCGGCTCCGCCTTCTAACCGCCACCTGGCCCGGACCGGACCGGACCGGACTGGCCCTTTCTCAGCCACGGACCGATCTGCTCTGACTGACTGGTTGCCCAGATCTCCATCCGTTTGGTTTTGCTGGTCTGGGCTTTGAAAGGGAATAAACTGTCCAGCATCAGGAACTGGACCGGCTGCGGCCGATTCCAGGCGTTCAAACTGAAACCCTCTAGATTCTCCAACCCAGACATGAACTGAGAGAAACCCAAACGCCTCCACACAGGAATATCACCGCAAAGATTCTCCGTTTCTCCTGTTTGTGGTATTTATTAGCATCGTCTCCTCTGAGTTTCAGACTCAGCTACTGTGACCGAACCTCGCCGACTTTCCACCGGTGGAAATATTCCTTCATCAGAACGTTTGCAGAACGTTTGCAGAACGTTTGGAAACCTGCGATTCAGAAAGCGAAACATCTTCAGCCAAAGTTTCACTGACACACGATATTTTTCACATGGACCTAAAGTTTCCCATCATGCCTCGCTGTCGGTTTGTTCTCCTTCATTTCCGTTTGCCAACACAAAACAGGAAGTCCTGCGGAGCGTCAGCCGTCCATCTGCTGTGAGCGAAGGATCGAGAAGGAAGTCTGACCCGACGTTAGCCGTTAGCGACATTAGCTTGTGTTGCGTCTGACCTTAGGAAGCTTATTGTGAATATCTTTGTTTTTGCTGCTTGTTTCTGTCCATCAATCAGTCCAGAGGTCGAGAAGAAAAAAGGAAAGAAAACAAAATCAAATTATTAGTAAAAGAAGAAACCGTCTGGATTTTAGTTGCAACATTATTTCTGACGGTTGGAAGATGTTGGACAAAGTGACAGTTCACCGATTCAACATTAAAGTGATTCAGCTGAAGAAACATCCTGGTATCCGTAGGCAACGCTAATGCTAACACTAGCATTCGACTGTTAGCACTAGCACGCTAAAGATCTGTCAGTAATTCACTACAGACTTAGTCTTAGCCTGCTAACAGTGATGCTAACTCTTAGCAAAGGCAGTAACATGCTAACAGTTAGCATAGTGAAGCGAGGAGCCGTCACTTTTCCCGCCTTTTTGTCCTGTTGCCTAGCAACCGTGACGCACTGAACACAAGCTGCTAAAAACGGAGCCAGAACTTTTCCAGAGTTTCAGTCGTTTAATCCGTTTAGTGAATTAAATTTGAAACAGAAACATGTGAAACAGAAGTGACCCATGTGAATCATTCAGCTAATTCAGCCTGAATGAAACATGAACCAGCAATACAACAATACATCTTTATACATAAGTCCAATAAGTTCAAGGTTTCCTGATCATTCTGACCAATAACAGGTCATGAATCTGTTCATGTGAACAGTTCTTTGCTTTAAGGATCCAGATTTAGATGAACTGGTTCATCTGCTCTGTGTTGGTTGTTTCCTGTCGTTCTGTTTTTATCACTCTGGGATTTTTTTCTGTTTTTATTTGTTTTGAAGAACCAAACGAACACGACTGATCAAAAAACCACCAGCTTCACTTTGAGTTTCATTTTGTAGAAAAAGACAAAAAAGTTACAAAAAGACAAACATAATCCTGAAAAAGTCTATTTTTACATTCAGTGTCACGGCGCAGATCAGAGAGCAAAGAAAAGTCAAGAACTAATCAACATGACACTCAGTAATTATCTGGTGTGAAACAGCTGCGTTTTCATTACAGGAAGTAGATTAAACGGTGAGACGACGACGTCGCGCAGCGGACAGGAAACTTCCACCAGTCACTTTCCATTTATCTGTTCTGACCTTCAGAGCTTCAAAGGTCAACAATTTAAAAGTTTGAAACTAGAAAATGAATCTGAGATTTTCCTCAGAAATCTTTTAGAAAAACATTTTTTTAATCAAATGTCATAATTTGGAAAAAGTTTATGTTTTTTGGTGGAAGTTGTTGCTGTGGCTCTGATGCGCCGACGGTTCTGGTTTCCAGAGGGAATCTGTGTTTAGATAGTGAATCATCCAGGACAAGATGGAGGACGGATGTCGATGTAGGTTTAGACGAGTTGCAGTTTGTAAAAGAGGAAAGTTTAGTGAAGGTGTCAGGAAGGCGAGCAGAGCGGCGTACACTGTGAAAACTCAGCCGGCGGCTGATGGCTTCTGGGTCAGCATCTCCTTCATCTTCTCTCGCTGCTGCAGCAATCCACTTCCTGCCGCTCTTCCTCACATCCTGAGAGGAAGACTCCGACTCGCCGCCCGATCGAACGGCCGGCAGGACCAGCTTCCTTTGACCTGTGCTAATCGGCAGGAACGTAAACTGACCAGTCGTCCACCAGCGCTGGGGGTAAAACGGGCCTCAGGCGGCTCTTTATTTGCCTCAGGCGGCTCTTTATTTGCCCCGGCCGCCATCTTGACGTTTATCTGCTTCCTGCGCCGACGGTCCAGGCTGTGAATTTATTACTGGGACGTTTCCACCGTTACCGTGGCAGCCAGTCCCGGGGCGGCGGGGTGAAAAGGTCGAGAAGAACCAGGATCAAACTCAACATCCAGCAGGTGGAAATAAATTGGACTTTTTGAAATTTTCTGTTTTTAAAAGTCAAATTTGTTTCATTTTTAAAAACCCAAAAAATTCACACAAATTTTTTTCTATAAAATTTCTGAGATTAATTTCAAAATTTGAGTTTTTCTCACAAATTTTTGTCTTTCAAAACTTTGACATTTTGAAATTGATCTCATAAATTTTCTGATACTGAAGTCAAAAAAGTTTTTAAGTTTTTTTACTTTTCAAATTCTGAAATTTGAGATTAATTTTCATACTTTTTGTGTGAAAATGAGCAGTTATTTGCAAAAAGGTGAAGCTGCACTGCATGCTAACGTCATGCTAACAGCGTGCTAGCGGTTAGCGTGCTAGCGGTTAGCGTGCTAGCGGTTAGCACACCGCTCCGCAGCCACGTCCTGGAAACGACTCATTCAGCCAATCAGGTGTCGTCTCTCCAGGTTCTCCGACCAATGGCTTCGTCTGCAGGGAAATGATTAATTAACTCAGAATAAATGAAAACGATGTTGCATCGGAAATCAAACTTTTCTGAATTTGAAAGCTAAAACTGAAATATTTTGCCATCTGGATCAAAGGAACATTTTGGTTTCTGAAATTTGGGTTTTTGGATGAGGTGGATTTGCTGCAGCAGAGCCACATTAAAGCAAGCTGCCTTTTTTTACAGTGTACAGTTCCACTAGAGTAGAATTGACTTTTTATATTCAAATTTAATATATTATTATTTGGAGTGCTCTTGGAAGCTATTATTTATATCCATGTGATATTTCTGCATATGTAAATTTAGTTTAGTGAATAAAAAAAGGACGTTTTTCTTCTCTCGGCCTTAAAACGTTTCAGTTCTGGGATTTTTATCATGATTATTGTTTATCTTATTTATTATTAAATCTTGACAGACGTTAGTTTACCAGATTATTTGTAGACTTTTCTATGCAGCAGAACCCAAAGCCGGAGTCGATCATATCTGGGCAACAAGTTGGTAGAAACTCAAAACAATTTTAGATTAAATTTCAAAATTTAGAAATTATGCTTAAATTATTTAATTTATTGTTTTGTATCTAAAATGATCAGATGCAGCAAAAGCAAAGGAGGTGGATTAGCAGGGCTAGCTTGTGATTGGACTGTCTTCAGTCAGAAGCTGTTTCAGATGTGTTGCAAGACTGACTGCTGCTGGAGATCTGTCCAAAATGACTTCTTGGATATCAGTTGCGACTTTTCAGTAGACAGTAGATCAGACAGTATAAATAAAGTATTTTTGAATTGAACTGAGTGGAATAAGCAACAAAACGCTGAAGGTCTCTGGAAGCTAAATGCTTGGAAGGAAAGAATTAAAGGAAGAAAAAGAAAAATCTGAATCTATTTGATTTTATTGAGTGGAAAAAATATAATTAAAAACAGCAACTGAGCTGGAAACCCGGGCGTTTCTTCCTTTCTGTCCCTTCCTTCCTTTTAAATTAAACTTCCTCCACTGTGGTTGGATCCGGTCCAGAAATGAGATTCTGAGAGGAATGAAAAGGCAGATGAAGTTCAGACTGGGTGGAGGCGGTTCTGGGCGGCCTGACGTGTGAAATGGACCGTCAGCTCCGGTTTGGGCCGCCGGCTTACAGAACATAAATAATAGAGTAGAAAGAAAAGTAGAAAAGATGATTTGCACCTCGTCTCATCAGGGGGGAGGAGCTGAATCCATGAGGAAGAGCTGACTGCGGGACACGCGATGATGATGATGATGATGATGATGATGATGATGAAGAACGGCTTCTTTCCATTATGTTGTTGTTTTCCCATTTGCTGGTTTTTGTAACACTGTAGAACAGTCCCATGGTCCTTTTTATAGAAATGTTATTTCAATGTTTCATTCTTTTGTTTGATAAATAAAGTTTTGATACAAAAACAAAATGGCTGCTTGTTGGTTTTTCTCTTCCTCAGGAAAAAACATTTCTTGTCTTTTCCAGCTAACAGACCTGCTGGGGTTGCTAGGTAACGGTCGGAACTCTGCTGGGGTTGCTAGGTAACAGCTGAACTCTGCTGGGGTTGCTAGGTAATGGGCGGAACTCTGCTGGGGTTGCTAGGTGACGGTTGTTGCTGAAATTAGCATATTGAAGCTATTCTCTGTTATTCTGATCAACCAAAATAAACTCTGCAACAATATTAAAGGAAAATAAATGTAAGGTAGTTAAAGGAGTGATTGCACGCAGCTAATAAAGAGCATGCACTGTAAGGCTAGAATGTTAGCATTAGTATGCTAACATTAGCATTGTGTTGCTTCCCTCACAAGTAAAAGTTTTGAAATAAAAGGATTTGCACTCACTGTGTTTATCTTGCATTTTAAAAATGCAGGTAAATTTGGTACTTATTGCAAAAGCAGCTGTAAGCTAACTAGCTACTGAGCTAGCTACTAGTAGCGGCTAAAGAACGGATTTTTATGCTTCCTCAAACGCTGTAGCATTAGTTTCAAATAATGAATGAACAATATATAAATTGTTAAAAAGGGTAATTAAATATTTTATTGCTGGATTGTTTACCAAGTTTTTTTTGCGTGGCGGCCATATTGGATTTTGATTCTGTGGTTTCTAAATCAGATGCTAGCTTTCAGCTCTATTTGATTTTCGAATATAAATAAAATGCACTCAGGACTTGGTGTTGGTGTTTCTATATTTTATAAGAGGAACAAAACCATTTGTTCTGCATTTTGGATTAAAACAATAAAATCTCTAAAAATGTACATTATGAAGCAGGAAGTGGCCTAGAATATGCAGGAGTGTGTTTGGAGGAAGTGTTAGAGTAAAAGTAAAACCAAAGAAATATAATTTTTCAGCTCCATTTGGTTCCACCTGAACATTTTCAGCGAGAAATTCAGGTAATTTTGGGAGAAATGGCTGCAGGGCTGCTTCAGATGAAAGAGGCTCTGCTGTAAAGAACCGGAGCTTCAGACATGATGATGATGATGATGATGATGATGATGATGATGATGATGCTCCGCTTCTCTGCAGCCGATGTAAATCAGCAGCACTTTAAAGTGGCACCCAAGATTAGTGTCATTCACTGACCAAAGGAAATATGGAAACAATTTTTCCTCTGATGCCTGAAAGGCTCCATTTTTTCTGAACTCTGACGTTTCGCAGTTTCTGACCTTTTGAATGGAAAATGTCAGATTCAATCTGATTATCCGGCTAAACGATGTGAATGAAGCTGAACATGTGAGTCGTCTCTCCTAACAAAGAGCAGCGCAGATCGACGGTTCTCTTCAACTTCATGGATAAAATCAGAACCGAATTAAAGATGAATCAGATGAACGGAGCTGAGGAGGATTTGAGTCGTTATCTGAGCACAAGCAGCAGCTGGAGACTTTGGGCCTGAAAGCAGACAGTAGATCTAGACAGTAGATCCAGACAGTATAGATCTAGACAGTAGATCTAGACAGTAGATCAGACAGTAGATCAGACAGTAGATCTAGACAGTAGATCAGACAGTAGATCCAGACAGTATAGATCTAGACAGTATAGATCTAGACAGTAGATCAGACAGTAGATCCAGACAGTAGATCTAGACAGTATAGATCCAGACAGTAGATCAGACAGTAGATCTAGACAGTATAGATCCAGACAGTATAGATCCAGACAGTAGATCTAGACAGTATAGATCCAGACAGTAGATCAGACAGTAGATCTAGACAGTATAGATCCAGACAGTATAGATCTAGACAGTAGATCCAGACAGTATAGATCTAGACAGTATAGATCCAGACAGTATAGATCTAGACAGTATAGATCTAGACAGTAGATCCAGACAGTAGATCCAGACAGTATAGATCTAGACAGTATAGATCTAGACAGTAGATCCAGACAGTAGATCCAGACAGTATAGATCTAGACAGTAGATCAGACAGTAGATCAGACTATAGATCAGACAGTAGATCCAGACAGTAGATCCAGATAGTAGATCCAGATAGTAGATCAGACAGTAGATCAGACAGTAGATCCAGACAGTATAGATCTAGACAGTATAGATCTAGACAGTAAATCAGACAGTATAGATCTAGACAGTAGATCAGACAGTATATCAGACAGTAGATCAGACTATAGATCCAGACAGTATAGATCCAGACAGTAGATCCAGACAGTATAGATCTAGACAGTAGATCAGACAGTAGATCAGACAGTAGATCCAGACAGTAGATCCAGACAGTATAGATCTAGACAGTATAGATCTAGACAGTAGATCAGACTATAGATCAGACAGTAGATCCAGACAGTAGATCAGACTATAGATTAGACAGTAGATCAGACAGTAGATCCAGACAGTAGATCCAGACAGTATAGATCTAGACAGTAGATCAGACTATAGATCAGACAGTAGATCCAGACAGTAGATCAGACAGTAGATCCAGACAGTATAGATCCAGACAGTATAGATCTAGACAGTAGATCCAGACAGTAGATCCAGACAGTATAGATCTAGACAGTATAGATCCAGACAGTATAGATCTAGACAGTATAGATCTAGACAGTAGATCCAGACAGTAGATCCAGACAGTATAGATCTAGACAGTATAGATCTAGACAGTAGATCCAGACAGTAGATCCAGACAGTATAGATCTAGACAGTAGATCAGACAGTAGATCAGACTATAGATCAGACAGTAGATCCAGACAGTAGATCCAGATAGTAGATCCAGATAGTAGATCAGACAGTAGATCAGACAGTAGATCCAGACAGTATAGATCTAGACAGTATAGATCTAGACAGTAAATCAGACAGTATAGATCTAGACAGTAGATCAGACAGTATATCAGACAGTAGATCAGACTATAGATCCAGACAGTATAGATCCAGACAGTAGATCCAGACAGTATAGATCTAGACAGTAGATCAGACAGTAGATCAGACAGTAGATCCAGACAGTAGATCCAGACAGTATAGATCTAGACAGTATAGATCTAGACAGTAGATCAGACTATAGATCAGACAGTAGATCCAGACAGTAGATCAGACTATAGATTAGACAGTAGATCAGACAGTAGATCCAGACAGTAGATCCAGACAGTATAGATCTAGACAGTAGATCAGACTA